GTGTATATAATGTTATGTTCTTCTACCCAATATCATCGACAGTCTTCGACATTGCAAACACGACTTATTGGTCAATTTAAATCAACATTGATGTTGTTATCTTACCGTGAAAAGATGGGCTTCTAATATCCAATATTTAAGATAAAATGAACATTTAAAATTGGCACGCGAATCGCGTGCCGGAATGTTTTGGAGTGCCATTTGTAATGAAGTGACTCGATGAACGAGACTAAACATAGGCCTAGGAGAATACTACTGGTGTATACTGGAGTTCGGGTGTTCGATCCCTGTATTGGCTAAGAAAGTTCATCCAGATTTTCCGGCGTGGGTTCCCCTGACAAGGACAGCTGTCTAGTAGTTCGGATGGAAAGAAAAACCGAGATCCCGCGACACATTGGCGTGCACGTAAAAGATCCCTGGACAGTTGGAATTCGATATAAGAGTAGGCCGTAGTGCCGCTGTCCGGGCAAAATTCCCCTCATAGCACACTGTATGGCGTATGCCCGTCTTCATTAGCCCAGTTCGGGGCAGAACAGTTGGACGTTAAACCCCATTTCATTTCATTTCATATAATTATGTAGATACAAATTAGTAGTGATAATCACGAGGTTTCTTAACATAGTAGTCTCCCTTTAAGCATATGCTGGCAGGTGTCACATTATTTATCGACTTGGAATTTAACGTCCACTCGACACAAACTAGGTCATTTCGGGACTAACAGATGGTTCGATTTTATTTCGATAATTCGCTTGCGCGTAGGGGTCTTTAGCAGTGGGAGGAAACCGGAGGACCAGGAGAAAACCTACGAGGTTGGACTGACCAGTTGATTCATTGACAGAACTTATGATACAGCGCGCACGCGCTAACCATTCGGCCACGCCCCCCCCCCCCCCCTTACAAAAATAGAAAGCCCATATTGCAGTTCTAGAATTGTATAGGACTGTATAATTACTGTTACTAGAAAGCAAATGAAGAAACAGCTTTTGCCGAGTTAATTGCAGTACCGGATCTAAGGAGGAAAAAGAATAGGTTGTTAACACATAATATCTTTAATTTCCCAAGAGGTTACAATGATCTATACAATATATAGTAATTATGCAATTATGGAAATATGCAATAGTGGAATATGTAATTATAAAATAAGCAATTATGAAAATAACAGTCATTCGGTTGTGTAATAATTGAATTACACAATAAATATAAATATGACATCATATGTCAGTAATAAATTAATTATGAATATAATGATTCTAGAACGCTGATGCGTGACAATTAAAAAGTTTGAGATGCTTTCTAATTATTAATGATGGCTATGACGTAACCACACTAGAGATCTGAACGTGAACTCATAAGTTATTTGTTCCTCACATTCGATATGAACACGAAAGGTTATTTTATCGAATGTGACCGATCATTAATACTTCGTTCAACGGTATAATTATTGATGATAATTAGCATACGGCTGTTGTATCAATTATACCTAATACTGCTATTTACGAGTATCTAGTCTATGCATTACTTGCATTTCTGGGGTTATATCCTAATTTTGGTTACCATAATTTTGATGAGCGTGCATTCTAAAGTATTTAATCCTTTTCTAGTGGAGATGAATATATAACCCAGATCAAGACATGCTAACAACCGAAGTTTGACTGGACATGAGGGATTATCAATTTGAAAGCAAGCTAATGGCTTAAGCTTCAGTAATTAATTAATTGTTTGTGTACAACAAATATATGCTTGTTGCACACTGTGACACTTCCATAGCTAACCCACTCTAGTCGTAGAGAAAACTTAAAATTGTATCCAAAATATGATTCGTCAATAACTAATTGAGATTAAACTAGATCTGCAATCATGCAACTGTTTTAGTTTTCATTTAACTTGTACATTCAACCCAAATAATGTTGACAAATTGATAAATGAAACGTCATTAATCTCCCAACCAGAAATGATATTGGATATTTATCAGTTCTATTTAACGGCGACTGACAATCTCGCATTTTGCCTTTCTTCAGACCAGGTTTCAATGTGACCTGAATTTAGTTTATAGCACATAAAAGAACTCCTTATCGCTATTGTCATGTTCATATGTCATTCGCTATATCTCGATTAGTCAAGCCCAGATTTTTTTTTTCTTTAAACGTCTACATACCTGAATACTTTAATTCTGATCAGGTCAAATGTGCACTAAATTTAGTTTGAAGTTCATTGTTATAGCCGCTGATCCATGGTTGGAGGCGCAGGTTGGGAGTCGGGGGTCAGGGTCCTGATGATATGGTCGGAAATGGAACATACAGCGTTCCATTTTTCCAATAAGTAGGCCACCATCAACCCATTTGCGCGAATTGTCACTGCAACACTCCAATAAGGAGATCTGAAATTTCGGAACGAGCAAGATTTCCCTCAAATTGAACACGTATCTTTGGAAATGAAAATATGTTAGTCCCAAAATGACAGAAGAACTATGTTAAAGGGTCTTAAACCCCCATTTCATTCCAACTATAAAAACTGGATACAGATAGCTATTTTGATAGTTTGTATTCGCCTAATAAGCACCGTCAAATGCGTTTTTTGTCAAGGAAGAAACTGTTACAAAAGCGTTCATATTAATTTGAAATAATTGATCTATTTCATGTGTATTCGGGACAAGAAATCGGCACAGAAACCCACAAAAGTTATAGCAGTTTGTTCGATACAAAGTCAGTAGATACGCGAGCAATGTATATCAGGACTGTCATTAACATAACATAGGATTTAAGCCGGGTTTATATTTACGACGCTTTCAAACGCTGTCGGACGACTTCCTACGGTTCTAGTCGGCGTAGGACGACGTTGAACGGCATAACTTATATGACGGACGTAAAACGCCGTTACAAAAAAACGACGTCAACGTTCAACGCCGTTCAATTTTGAACTTTCGAGACCGACGTCGACGACGCTGACCTTCCCAAGTATTTCCAACCAATCAGAAAAGTTGTTGTTGGCCCAACGAGAACATTAATCGGGATTACTGGACCTTACTTTAAAGCCTTTAATCATGGATGCCATCAATGAGAAATTGATCAACCTTGTGCAACAGCTCAGATGCTTATATAGGCAAACAGGGTCCAATTTTAAGGACTAAAAGGAAAAAAAACAACGCTTTTGACTATATTTTGACTACTACTTAGACCATTTAGTTTTTACTAGGCGTTTTTACTACATTTCACGGAAATGGTAACTCCTAAAAGTATTTTCCTTCAATGTGCCTACATGTATAAACCGCTAACTCAATATTTTAGATAATGTTCGAAATTAAAAACACGAATTCATTATTGGCCATTTCAATCAATATTGGTGTTATCTTGCCATTAAAATATGAGATGCTAATATCCAATATTTAGGACATTATGAGCATTTTAAAATCAGTCGTGTATTTCTATGGAACAAAGAAAAACATATCCTACAAGACAACGCAGAAGTAATTAGTAATGCCTGATAAATAATAATTTTAAAAACGTGTAGAATGGACTAAGCAGGCGTAAAAGACTGCCCAGTTCCGTTCAATATGGACTGTTCACATATTTCACCAAACATAATTGATTAGAAATTACAATACAAAATTTAAAAAAAATAATAATAAAAATCACTTTATATCCATATTACATTACTTGTACTTTTAGACAAATTTTTATTTATTTTAAAGTTCCTCGTATTTAACGAGAAGACATAATGCGAGGTCGTGCTCAATCTAAATATGCCGAACTTGATACACCCAATTCGAGTTGACGTATAGGAAATGATTAACGTAATCGATAGCATAAAACCAGTGAGTTATATCATGCTTCACAATAATTGGATTGTGTCATATGAAACGGAACTAGTTACGAAAGGGAAACATTTATATTAGATCTACATTTCGAGTTAACAATTCATTCATATGTTAGATATCTGAGCTCATCGAACTGCTTCAAATTGTGTAATTATCCAGTAGTTCTCGTTTAAAACCGGTGTTGTGATTTAGCAACTGGAACAGAAATAACTATTGGGCCAGGGATAAAATCACAGCTTTATTTTGATGCGATGCAGAGATAACATCAATCCCAAAGGCCTGAAGATCCTGCCTTTAATCTTGTTGTTGTCGTCATGCATGGTTTCTGATTTAATTTGTTGCTATTGCTTGTCTGTATTGCCTACACATTTGATATCGTACTTGCTTTAACACGTTCAAAGAATACCCCTCGAAACGTCGCCCAAATAAATAATTGAAGTATGTTTTATAGTTTATAGTTTTAAGCACTTTGGCATTTCTGCCCTATTGTATTGAATATGCGCTGCTTGTTTAGTTAACAGATGAGATTTAAAATCACATAGGCTTGTGAAGATGATATACGAAAGGTTAATCATTCTAGATATACTCAAAACTTATAACATCAAATAACACATTGAGGCGTGACAATTCATTTCAAGGAAATATACATTTTATATAGCACAAAATCATATTTCTCTTGAAAGAGTTTGTTGGTTATAATTCGGTTTATGCATGGTGACCAGGAGTCCAAGGTAGAACCTGCTAAAGACCTGGTGTCCCCACCCCTCCCCGGAAGCAATATTTGACAAAATGGCTGAAGATAACAAAAACTTATGGACGTCCAGCATGATTTACATATGAATAGAAGTGATATTATTGGGAAAAAGACAAGGTGTGAGGAGAGTGTAATTTGGGGGAATCAGCATTGTTTTAATTAGTGAGAGCTAAATGGATATGTTGTAAACAGTTATAGACAAAATAATCATAAGGCGAAGCTGACTTGGCTGGTTAGTGTATCCGGCCTTTGGGTTGTTTTTCAGACAAAATATTAACCCATGCGGTCAGCTTCAATTTTAGTTATTGAAGTTTCTAGATCATGGACACACATAATCTTAAGATTACACTCTGATTTATAATCTTGTTAGAATTATTTGGTCCCACTTTGACGAGAATATAACATCTGGGTTGTTGATATATATATTAACATTTATTGTAGACCTGTTGTAAGCTAGGAGCGTCTTACAATGAAACTTATTGTTTTTGTTTGTTTGTTACCTCTGGTATCAAGTTGGTGGAAACCTGGACCAACGTTATCCTGGCAATGGCAGCTCACAAGCAAAATACATACAAATTTAGATGTTCAAGTTTATGACGTGGATCTATTTGATGCTACTGACAGTGATATTCATGCTATTAAGAGGTGAGTTGTAGTTGGTAGATAAGTAAATCAAAAGAAAGATGAGTAGAGTTAAAACCAGATTCCTTTTTGGCGTTAATTCGATAACAAATGTTAAATTGTTAAACTGGTTATACTACTATCGTGGATTAAGATAGGCAACACTATACATATAACCGCAATCGGCACATTTGCGCATTGTCAACTTACACATAAACACCCTTGTTTTCAAAGGACATATGCGTGACATAATTTTCCACTGTTCATTTGCAGTGACTAATATATCAATTTATGTCGATTTTGAGGAGCCCCCTCCCCCTTTTTGGGGAAATTCTACATATATTAACAACGAACAATGGAACTATCTAGACATTTGTGTCCATAAAATTTATTTATACGTCGTCTTCACAATTCTACACATGTTCTGTTCTCTATCTAATCTAAATAAGTATGGAAAATAATCATATATATAACAATCCACCATTAAATATAACGCGACGTGTTCAGGCGAATTAAATACTTTCAAAGAGAACAAACGTAATGAACACAGCCAGGGGTTGTTGGAATATTGCAAATGTCATGCATTATTTCATTTCCGGCAAATTAAGGTAGATGAATCCCCAAGACGAGCCAAGTTGCGGGGTTTTAAACAGAAAAGATAAAATTAGAGATCTGAGCAATATTAATGTCAAGACTTGTGTAAAAACGGTCCAAGATTGTTAAAAGCAAAAATACAAATAATATCCGGGTTACCAGCTACAGCTGAACATTAGGAAAAGAAAGTAAAGCAATGGCGTTTAACGTCCTTTGGCATTTTTATATCTTCCGGAGTTTTATATCTTAATCACTTTGTAGAATCTTGTGAACGCCCTAATGAAAAATGTTATCCATTCGTTTGAAAATTTTTTTAGATCTACGACCCTGTGTGAGAATTGCTCAGACGAAGAAGCCTATATATCAGATTTCAACAATTTTCCAAAATGTTCTAAAACATGGTACCTTGCTACATTTTGTAAAGGATAAGGCCACCGATAACCTGTTAGGCCTATTGAAGCCAACTTTCTTATTTGCTTTCAAGGGGTTTCCTTTAAAGATTATTGATTAAACTGACGCTGGAGAGTCACTGTGGATCAATCATTGCAAATTTTGGGGGGGAAATCTCAGAAACTCCCACTCGTAAGCCCATACGCCACCATATTCGACACTGTATGGGAAGTATGGGAAAAAGGTATAGTTGCAATTCGCAAGGATTCGTATGAAATTTGGAAGCATTGGTAAACATTTTCAAGGTTCATTTCTTTTCACTTTTTCTCCAGGCGAATCTGATCATTTTCGGTGAATTTTTTCGCGAATTTCAAATTTTCATATTTGCAACGATATTCGCCAGCGTGTAAGAGAGTCATCGGCAACAATAAACCCCAACATTCTTGAGGGAGTATTATAAGAAAAACTATTTTAAGTTATCGATTAAAATCACCAAATTTAATGTAGGTCTAGAAAAGAAAAGAAATAACTCTCCACAGTGAGGGGCTCCTGAAACAGTGACCATAGCGTTCTACTGGGAGAGTAAACCCCTATTGTTTCTTCTCCAAGGGTACCATGTGATTGATACATTTATAAGCCAGCAAAAGTATTTTAAGCTGAATTCCGCGGTGAATATGTAATCGATGGAACCGATGCCATATCAGGGTAATGTGATCATGATCCCTCTGGTTTGCGTTACAAGGTTGACGTTTGAACCGTCTGATGAAGCGTATCCAGAATACGTTGTTGAGGGCCAACAAGAAGTGAATTCGAATTGATGTGATCGCATTGTGAATGAGGGTTATTTTACAGCTTTGATGTCTAGATGTAAATACTCGTCTTTATTACCCCAGTCGGTCGAAGCAGAACTGTAGGACGTTAAACCCTATTTCATTTCATTTATAGATGTAAATAATAACTTTTACACGCATTCAAAAGAGGCGTGAGAATTAGTAACTCCGGTGTTTCTAGCTGAGGTATCTGGATTCACTGGGTATTGGCAATGATACACCACATTCTACCTTCTGTATAGCCGATGTTTGCTTCCTGTTAAAAATATCGCCATGTGAGTTTAAAAGGTCCTTCAGCTAAGACATGCAAATTTCGTGTCCATCTCGTCCCGTTAGGTCGAAAGCTAGAGATAACTGGGTCATTCCATATCAACTGGACCAATAGAGGGAACATGACCCCCTCCAAAAAAATCATAAAAAATATAATGTTATAGTACATGTACATTGCCTTAAACTAAGAAATCGGAAATTTTACCTTTTTTAGATATGGCCATTTGAAATCAGGATCATAAATTCAGTAATGGGGGAAAAAGTGAATAGTTTATTTGTTCCACATTTTGCCACCTGGTGGCACGAACTGTGTGAATCGCACATTGCGTGTGATGCAAAATGTGGAACAAACAAACTATTCACTTTTTTCCCCAGGATTTCCACAGCCACTGGCAAAGTCACTATTGTATACACAACCTCCAAAATTGGCATAGTTAATGTCAGTTTGTCTTTTATCAATTTACAAACGATGGGATATATACTTTTCCAAATATTCAGTCTCGATATTCAATGCACACTGAAAACGTACAAAATATACACATTTTCACCTTCAATTTTGGCCATGTGGGACAGAGGTTAAAATTCTGAAAAAGTCTGATAATAAAACTTGAATTACCCTACTATAACACACATTAAAGTCCATCTTGTGTATTTGATGGCTTATATTTTTAATTGGCACTTGTAATCTGTGCAGTGGTGAAGTTTTAACGGCTGTTATAAAAAATGTTGACTTTTCACGATGATTTTAAAATAACTTCTAAATGAACTATACTCCTCAAACGTGTCAATTTATAGAGTGATTTTTTGCGCAGATTACAAATATGTAATCATTTCGGATGTACATTGTACTGTTCTAATTTTATTTTGCGTCCGAAATGAAAACAAAATTATTAATACGCTTCACGAATTGGAATAATGGCTTTTGATGATCAGACTAAAATTATTTCTGAAAGACTTAGGCCCCTCAAATTTGTCATTTTAGATCAATTCTTAACATAGAATAAGAATAACGACTCTTTTGGGGTCCTGGGAGTATCGTTTCAATTTAGTTTTGCTTTAAAAACAGGCGAAAACCTGTTTTGTCTGCTTAGAAAGTTTAAGTACGGACTTATGTAGTTTCACTATCACTAGACACCTCAAAACTACAGGCCGCAATTCTTAACGCTTCGTCTTGAAACTATGTATATTAATTTTTCCTTATACCCTCAGGGTGTTCCCTATTGTTTTTGGTGCATGCCCGACCACCGGGGACAGAGAGCCACGCTCAATATTGTATGTGTCAGTTTGTCGCCTACAAGTCACAATTCTGACTGGATTGTCTTGAAGTTGTGCATACTTATTTCTTATACCTCAAGCATGACCAGCCAACCCGGGCAGAGTCACGCCTATTTTTTCTTTGTGTGTCTGTGTGTTTTGATCTTGAAAACTTTTCATACTTATTCCTTATACCTTTAGGATGACCGTTATTATTTTTGGTGCATGCCCGACCCCCACGGGCACAGCAACGCCCATTTTTTATGCTTAGGGGTCGCAATTCTGAATGGATCATCCTGGAACGTGACAGGGGTCGGGCATGCAGCAAAAGCTCAGAATTGCAGCCTGTAGACGATAACACAAAAATCTGGTGTTGCTGTTTCCCTGGGGGTCTGGTATGCTCTAAAAATAATAACAGCCATCCTTTGGATATAAGGAATATATATGAATAGCGACCTGTAGGCAAAACACACAGATACATAAAGAGAAATGGGTGTGGCTCTGACCCGGGTTGGGCATGTACCAAAAACAATAGGAAACATCCTTAGAGTGTTATGAATAGTCCGATCCTTAATGTAAATCCGTCGGCTTTTCGGGTAGAAATCGTGGAAAAAGCTTGATTTTGTAGGTTTTGATATTTGATGACAAGAAAACAATGTTGACATTTTTTCTGAGTAGGTCTTCATAGTATGGAAGGCCATTATTTGAGGATAGCCATTTTGCGATAATATTCCAACTTATTTTTTTTATTTTCACCTTATTTATAATGTTATCGACATATCAACTGTGATTTGGCAATGTAGTAATATTGGCAGGGGTCATGACTATATTTCTGATTTTTTTCCATCACTTCATGAAGATATTTCCAAGATGGCGACCATTTTTAGCGGGAAAATCGGACGATGTGCTGATTTCGATTAATTAGTAGTGTTTGGTGTCAAAATATATGTTTTCATATATATGGTTTGTCTTTCCAACGCATCAGCATTCCTTTGAAGGACCCCTTCATCACACAGCTTGGGGTCAGTTGATGAAATAATCTATGCCATGAAGGTTTTTTATAGCAAGTATTACTATTTCATTTGCAGTCCCTGTTTTTATTTCTTTGTATACCGGTTTACATTTAATATCATACATTTCTGTTCTACTTTTAAATTTATTACTAACCTTTCCAAACTTGTAAGTCTCACACTTTTAACCATCTATAACTGACAGACAGCATAAACTGAAAGTCTCAATAGCGCCACCAAGTCTTAAAATCAGACTGGAGTTCAACTACTACAATGCGATCGACCAAGTAAATGTGCTATTTTCCTGCAAAATCGATATTAGCTCAGGGGGCAACTTGGATGAGGAATTTTCATTGTTGGATAATATACCTAATGGGTAAAACACGACACGGGCTTCCAGGAACATGCTACAAGCCTATACATAGCAGAAATGGATTCAGAAACCTTTTCAGTAATGTCCTGCCACAAACGGTGGCCATCTTGGAAATATGCTGAATATGTGACCATACCACCATTTCACGCAGTTGTAAATGGCAGAAATCGATTCTGCGCCCCCGAAAAAGTATATTGACACAAAAAATCAGCACATCGTACCATTTTCCCACCACAAATGGCAGCCATATTAGAAATATGCTAAATATGTGAAAATGTGATCATTTTACAGTTGTAAACAGTG